AGCTTTGCTTCTGTGTAGCTCCATTTCCTACCTCCATTGCTTTCATGGTAACATCTTTATATGTCCAGCACAGGGTTTTTGTCATAGTGAGGACTCCACCTTGTATGCAATGAGTCAGTTTCCTTTTGCTGCTTTCAAAATTCTCTTCACTTTGACTTTTAACAGTGTGGTCAAGGTATATCTCAGTGCGGATCTGAGTTTGTCCTAGAAACTCACTGAGCTTCCTCCGCATTCAGATGGTTTTTCGTCAGATGGTTTTTTGTCAGATGTGAGGAACTGTTGTTGGCTGCTGTTCACGCAGATAAGTCTTTCCCTCCCTTCACCTCCTCCAGGTGCCTTAGTGCATGTCTGAGATACTTGATGATGTCCTCTAGGCCTTTTCAATTTAAAAATTCCTTATTCATTCTTTTCCTCAGATTGGATCATCAGGATTAATGTATTTTTAAATTCGCTGATGTTTTTTCACCTTCCAATTCAGATCTCTTGTTGACCTTCTGGTCAACCTCAAATTTTTCTTTTGTGTTATTCTATGTTTTGACTAAACTTTCCCCAAATTTCTATTTATGTGGTGAAATAGTGTTCTCTCTCTCTCTCTCTCTCTCTCTCTCACACACACACACACACACACACACACACACGTACAGAAACACATATGTACACACTTTTTTTTTTATATTAAATCCACTATCTGGTCTTAGGAATAGTATCTATTCATGGGCATATGAGCACATTTAGCTTTTTTTTTTTTTAAATGAAAAATTAAAATGACAGTGTGGCAGCTATTCATGTCATAGAACCCCTTCCCAGGGTTTTTGCTGCCTTTTGTTACTGCTCTTGCCTTGCTTTGTTTTGTGGGTTTCCTCCACCTATAAAGTTTGTACTGTGCATATGACTGCTGATGTGTTTGCTAGTGGACAGCTAGTCATTGGACAGAGATGTCCTTAAACGCTTTGAACCAGGAGGCCTGGCAGCCTTTGCTGAGAATGTGTTGGTATGTATACACCTTCTATCCACTCTGCCTTGGTCTTCATGTTCTGCTTGTGGAGATCCTCCTGGTCAGCTAGGTCTGATTAGCTATTTGCTTTTCTTTCCTGAGCATTCTCAAAGGTTTTATGTAAAATCTTGTAGATTCCCTATTTTGGAGCTTATGGAAACCTCTTGTGGTCGTCTTTTTCCTTAGTACTTCCTTTTACAGATTTTAGTCTCTGTTAGCTCCATGTAGTAGTGCCCCAGCAGCTGTGACATTAACCATTTTCCACCTGTTGCAGTTTTCCATTAACATCCTAACTACTGGTCTTGTGCTGTGTGCTGAGCCAGGCTATGCAGAGAGAAGAGCTGAGATTGCAGCTTTCATGCCATCTACCAGCCAGGTCAGATAGAGATAGTTTTTCTGGCTTTGGAACATTTGGAAACTCAAAACTGATCTATCTCTTCCCATGGCTACAAGGCTGCTGGTTTTCAGTCACTGTCACTTGTGAAGTTGTGAATGTCCAAGGCTTCTGCAGAACTAGTATAAAAGTTACCTGAGATTCATTGTTTCTTTTGAATTAATGCGCCTTGTGTTTTTTTCAAATCTTTATTGAATTTTCAGAATTCTGGAAAAGTTGATTGTGAGGATTTTTGTCACTTCTTATTGCATGTGTAGATAAGTATATAGCCAGAGCTCCTGACTTTGCCATCCTGGATCTGTTTGCAATTAATATTAACTTCATGAATTTTATTTTTAGATCTACTCCCAAAACAGTTAATATTGATCTGTTCTTATGCCTTCATCTTGGCCCTATTTACTCATCTTTGCAAATTTCTTTTCAGCTGTCTACCTATTACTAAAATCTCCTCCCTGAATTATTTGAAAGCAAATGGTTTTAATTTTGAAATAATTTTATTTTATCCGTACACATTTAGGTGTAAGTGATATGTGAATGATGCTTCAAGGGACTGCATTGACTCACGTTACTCTGAACTGGCATCACTGACACACCTATTGCTGGTATCTCATCCTCTCTTTTTCTCTATGAACCTTCCAGTTGAATAGTTTGCTGAGGACTCTTTTGGACTTTATTTGACAAGAATATATCATATTTTTTGGTTCCTTTCTTCTCTTTTCTCCTTGACTTCTCATTGCTTTTTGCTATTGACATAACCAAAAATATAAATGTAAATGCATGCTCTGAAATTCAGATTCTTCAGCTAGTAAAGTTATTTTTACTTATTAAAAATGAAAACACCATATGACAAACTTAATATAAATTCTCAGGCCCTATCCTCTTGGCATCAGTTAAAGCATTTAAAATAGTTCTTGGTTGTTGGTAAGGGTATGGGCTGGTGGATATTATGCAGCCTTTCAGGAAGACCATTTTAGATAAAAGTAAAAATTTTGGCCTATGCATTCTAATAATGCAGCCTGCAAGAATTGTTTAGATCTGGAAGAGGTAATATATACAAATGTGTTCATGAACAGAAATAATCTAAATCCTCCCCAATAGTTCTGGAAGTAACCTCAATCCCCTTTAATAGTTGTTAAATGAAAGATGTATAAGACACTTCTAGTGAACAAAGATAAATTGTAGAACGTTATGACACCATTTAGAAAAAGTTGAGTTCCTCAACCATATTGCAGACACCAATTGTTTGTGAAAAATCCAGTGTGTATGTGGAAACAACATGGAGACACTTTGACATCGTCTCAGACTAATCAACTGGAAACGAAAGGGAGTAACCAAGAGGGAAGTTTATTTTTGTCTTTGTCAGTGCTGCCCAGAGATGGGTAATCTAGGACTGTTGTATTGGGGTCCCGGTGTTGATGGGGACCCAAGCTTCCATTTTGGCCATCTTAACCAATGGTTACCTTTCTCTAGGTGATCAAAGACAGCTGCGCTGCCAGCCTGAGTCTTTCTTGCCATTAGGAAGAGTGGCCAGAATAGGCAGAGCTGGTCCCCAATCAATCCCTTCAATTAGCTGTCCTAGAAAACCAACACACTTGTGTTTGCATTTCATTGACTAGTCATCGGTCACATGAGCACACATAGTCTTAACAAAAGGTAAAGAATGCCTGTCTTTGGTTCTGGATGGCAGTGGGGTCCTGTTGGGGAGGAGGAGGTAGTGGATATATTGGAGAGCGGAGCTGTGCCTGTCTTTGTATAAACATGCTGGTGTGTGCTGGCATGAGGTATTTCTGCAAGAGTGCACAGAGCCTGCTCCCGTGGGTGATGGGGGAGGGGACAGTTGACTGGTAGTAGGGAGTGGGCCTGCTACCTGCCTTTTACCTGTCGATAGCTGACACCTGTCTTTCATAAGCACATTATACTTTACATAGAGAAAAGCTCAGGAACAACACAAACTCATGGCTCGTGGTTACAAAACGTGTTAGGGTTGTATCATATGTCTTAGAGTCAATATTGTGCCACAGTTTAATTGTTGTTGTTTTTCTTGGAGGCAGCAAAATATTGTAGCAACTCTTCAAGAGTACATTAAGAGTGATAATTCTCCCAGAAGGAAGTGGGGTGGATGTGTTTGGAGAATTTTTTGTAATGACCTTGGTATTCTGTGATTGTTGCATTTATGGAGTGGGACATGTGCATTCTCAGAACTCAGGCCCCCTGCAGCCATCATTCAGCACGTGTAAGTACTGATGGGGCCAGGCTTCCCTGAGAAAAATGGCCCGTTTCCTAAGGGAGAGCTGCAGTTGGAAGTAGTGACAAAATGAAATTGTACGTACTCAGAAGCATTTTTATATAGGGTGATCTGACCTTTATACATAGCAATAAGATTTTATTTACTTAAGAAGGGTTTCTGGAATTGATAACTTAACAGCTTTGCTGGAAACTGTTTTCTCTCAGGTAGCATGTTTTTACATTCCTAATAGATCCATCATTTGCTGGGTCCCCATAGTGCGTACAAGCTGTTACCATGGTTTTCACTGTGAGATTTTGGAAACTTGATGCTTTATACCTCTACCTGGTTTCTTCAAGACAAGCTACTTTTAGCCATTTGCTCAGTGGGGATTTAAATATACATACATATATTGCTCAGGGGAATCAAAAATTAACTGGGTTCATCAGCTTGCTCTTCACATGGTTCTTACTGCATGTTCTCAAATGGTTCTTAACCTTGTTTGGGTCATCAGTCCCTTTGAGAAGCTGGTTAAATACATAGACCTTTCCTAGCAAAATGAAGTATCTACACAAAAGAATTGTGTGTGTGTGTGTGTGTGTGTACACATGATTATATATACATACATATATATAAAGCTTCTGGATCACTTAAACCTCTCCACATGAGTCCTGATCCATAGCAGCTTCTTATTTTATAGATGAAAATAACTTAGATTCAGAGAGATTTACTGTTTTCCTTGGGTGGTGGAGTTAGCTTTTACATTTTCGAAATTTTAGCTGTGGTTGAGTATCTCTAAAGTGGAATGTGCTTTGGTCAGTGTCTTGTTGAACACTCATTACTAAATAAACTGTATCCCAGTAAAAGACCATAATCAATGAGCGGTATTAAAGGATTAGCGAATAGAATCAATAAAAACTCTTCCAGCTTTAAATGAAGGAACTGAGATTGCTCTCATTTTCCTTGCGAAAATTCGAGCGTCCTTGTCACTTAAAAATTGGAGTCGAAGGAGCAGAGAGTCTGTTCTGTTCGCCTGCGCTGTGATGCCCTTCCTGTAGGTAACTTGGGCCTGCGGCTGTGCGCTGACCGTCTCTGCAGCCTCTCTCAGCGCCCGTGTGTGCACACCTTGGCAGCCTCTCCATGTCCATTGTGCACTGCCCTCCCCCTCAGGTAACATGTGCAGCCTCTGGCATCTGCTGCGGACTGGGTACCCGAAGCCACACCCTGTGGGCCACGCAGTGAGGGTGGGTGTCGCAAAAGTGCACACTACAGCCAAACTCTCTATGTTGCATTCTCCGTAAAATCCAAGTGACCCGATGGCCATTTCCTTTGTGCTTATGGCAAGGGCTATGATTTGGTGCCACTGACATCCTTCTCCTCTCTGGCAGCATCTACTGGACAGTCAGCAGCCGTCTTCTGTGCAGCTCTGGGTCTCCTTCGGCCGGAAGCCCATGCGAGCAGCCCAGTTTGTCACCAGACATCCTATTAATGTGAGTGGGGCCGGTTTGGGGGTGGGGTGTGCTCTGTGCCCTTGCACAGGTCACGGGGTGGCCAACTGCTGAGGGGGGGCAGTGATACTAGAAGCTCCCTGAAGTCACTTTCAGCCAGGTCTCGGGAGAGAGCCGCTGTGCTTTGGTCGTCTCGATCTGTTTTATCGGCTTTTCCCTCTTCACTGTTTGAAGTGGAGCTGAACGGGAGCCTTGATTTGCTTCAAGTGGAGAGGAGGGTTGGCAGCGAGGTCTGGAGCCAGAGTCAATGGGCTCAGTGTGCCTGTGCTGAAGGCGGCAAGGCAGTGACCACGTGGTGACTTAGGGAGTACCTGCTGTGTCGCCCACAGATAGCTCTGTTCCAAAAGTGGATGACATTAAGGGTCCCTCCTTTTAGAAACAGATCCTGACAACTGAGCCCATAGTGAAACCATATACAGCTGATCCTTAAACAGTATAGGTTTGGTCTAAACGGGTCCACTTTGATGTGGGTTTTCTTTTAGACAGACACTATAACAGTATTGATCAATACAGCCCGGAACTGTGGTTTTTTTTTTTTTTTCCTTCTTTCTTCCTGATGTTTCTTTTTTCTCCCCCAGATTTATTTATTTATACATACAGGAACCGGGGCACAGGTCAGGTGTGGGGGGCTGGAGGATTCACCAGAGACAGAATGGGGAGTAGAATAGGCAGATGGACTGAAATAAACTGCTGAGGGGGGCAGTAGGTTGTCAGGAGAGGTCTGCTGCGCCATGTGGGTCACCTCCAGGGCGGGGATCGAACTTGTGCTGCTGTGGCTGTGGATAGGTCCACAGTGCTGAGACTTAATCCCTGTGCCACCAGGGAGGCCCCTTATGATTTTTCTTAACACTTCCTTTTCTTTACATTTAACTTATTGCAAAGAATCAGTCTAGAATATGTACAACATGCATATTACTTGATGGTTTGTTATTGGTCAGGCTTACAGTCAGCAGCAGCCTATTACTAACATTTTGGAGGACTCATGTTTGACTCTAAAGGGGTTTGGTGCCTGCCACCCCTGTCCTGTCCATGTGGAGGATCCGCAGGGTGGAAATCCATGGGAAAGCTTCGTGTGTGCTGGGCTCACCAGAGAAGTGACCACATGTGGCGTTTGATGACCTTGCTATTAGCAGCTGATGTGCAGGATAGTAAGGGGATACACTGGTGGGCTCTTTGCTTTATATGCATTCTGCTGCCTTTTAATCATAAGCATGAAATACAAGGGAAGGAAATGCCCATTAACCTACATTGTACCTTGTACCAGTGATAGATCTCATGGGGACAAGAGGGAGACATAATTAACTAAAAGGAGGTTTTTAGGTCATTTACAGAGTTCAGTGCTGTTTCTTTTGTTCTCAGCTTGCCAGGTGGGGACCTGTTCTGTCTGCACAATAGTCTTAGATTCTCCAAAGCTAAGTCACTCAGGCTTCTTTGCCAACATTGAGGAGCTTTCTGTGGCCACCAACCCATGATCACAACGGGGCACTTGGAAATGGGTACTGTATTTTGCACAAGGAAAGCCACTGAGTGTATGTGATGACCTTGTTTTTGACTTTTGATCCAAAGGAATATTACATCGCGGACGCCTCTGATGACCAGGTGTTTGTGTGTGTCAGTCACAGTAACAACCGCACCAACCTGTACATCTCGGGGTCAGAGGGGCTGAAGTTCTCCTTGTCCTTGGAGAATGTGCTCTACTTTAGCCCTGGCGGGGCCGGCAGTGACACGCTGGTGAGGTAAGGGGACCGTGTCCCTCGCCCGTCTTCCATCTGCATGACCCCTGACTCGTGGAGGCTCACATGGAGGAGTGTTCAGAAACCCCAGAACAGAACTCACTTTCCAGACATTGTGACTCAGCTGGTGGGTGTGACCTGGGTGTGAGAGTTTTAAGAAAGCACTCCAGCTGCTTGTGAAACCAGGGCGAATGTGGTGGCTCTGGGTGACAGGGCCACAGCCACAGTGTTAACCATTCTCTCGGGTCCCTGTCATTGAGTTACTGGTTTCTGAGCCAGTGGCAAAGAGCAGCTGGAGGAAAAAGCAAGTCAGGAGAGCTGGCCAATGTGGCCGTGGGGCTTGGCAGCCGAGGGACTTGGATTAATTCATATCACGGTTTCTGCTCTTCTGGGGATGGCAGCATGATCTGATGGTGTCGTTGGAAGGACGCCAGCGACATTGACCCTGAGTCACTGAATCACACCCTGGGAGGGGTTTTGCAGGCTCAGTGAGGAGTGGAGCGGGAATGTTAGAGATGAACTCTGTGAGTCCCTGGGGGGCGTTGTCCCCATCAGGACCATGAGTCCTGTGATTGTCATTGGTCTTGTGACAGCCAGGTTGGTGTGAGATGACCGGGGTCACCTCTGTTCCCTGAAGGAGCCCTGCGGTGAAGCTGACTGACTGGTCTGCAGTGGGGTCTGGCTCTCAGGGAGTGACCTGAGGTTAGAGGGCTGCCATTGGTGTCTGCTGTGTCTCCTCATCCTGTCATTTCATTCAGTCACAGGCTGTTCAGCAAGAAGGCTGCTCCTCTTTGCTAGATGGTATTCTGGGCACAGCAGCGAAACAGTGCATACAGAAAGGAAAACTCAGAACAAGATCCCGGGAACTTGTTTTAGTTATGGGAAGGCAGAATATAAACAAATATGTAATCTGCCTGGTAACATGAGCACTGAGCAGAGCAAAGCAAGACGAGGATCAGGAGGGTATTATTTTATACAGGTCAGGCAGAGAAGGCTGTTTCCGCCCAGGACATTTGAGTAGATGCTTGAGTTACGAGGGAAGGTGGGCGGGAGGGAGTCTGGGGAAGAACATATCAGGCAGCGGGAACAGCAGGCACGGTGGCTCTGTGGTGGGACTTGGCTGGCCAGGTACATGGCATAGCAACACGGGCTGTTGTTCTTCAGTGTGTTCTGACATGTCTCCATTCCTGCCATGATTCAGCCTCTGGTATTCTGGTGGTCAGGGGCAGCCCCTTTGGGCTGGGCCTGAGGGTTTTACGGGGAAAAGCCACTATTTCAAAGTCAACAACTTAGAGCTATTCAGTCCATTCACAGTGCTGTGCAATCATCTTTATCTTACTCCAAAATATTTTCATTGTCACCCCTGAAGAAAGCCTTTTCCCATTAAGCACTTCCCCCCACCATCCTCTCCAGTCTGCTTTTGTGGTTCTGGGGCTTTAGCTTTTCTGGATACTGCAGACACATGGATCTGTATCCTAAAATGTGACCTCTGTGTCTACCTCCTTTCATTTTGCAGAATTTTGTGTCATTCCTTTTTATGGATAAATGATATTGTCCTCACTGTTTTTGTAGTTAAAATTATGAACTGTTATCCCTTGGGCCTTTTTCTGACCTTTTTTTTTTGTAAAAGATTTATTTATGCATCCAGAAATGGGGTACAGGCTAGAGATGCAGGGGCAGCAAGAAGATTCACCAGAGACAGAGTGGGAAGTAGAACAGGCAGATTGACGAAGTACGCTGCTGAGGGGAGCAGTGGGCAGCTCAGGAGAGGTCTGCCGCACCATGTAGGTCACCTCAGGGGCAGGCACTGAGTTGGCACTGAAGCAGCCATGGCTTGGCTTTGCAGTGCAGTGCTTCAACCTGCTGTGCCACCAGAGAGGGCCCCTTTTCTAACTTATTTAAAAGAAAATTTTCCCCCCACCTTTGAGAGCCTCTGAGGATAGGGAGGATAAATCAACAGCTTTCCAGAAGTTTCCTGGTGTCCACAGTGGTCAACTATTTGGGTGACTGTCTCAGCTTATGGTTGGGCAGAGTGGTAGATCCCACATAAAACATCAGAGTGTCCCCAGGAAATAGTAACTCCAGTTAAGTGACAAAGGACCATCTGAGACAGACGGGCCTTCACGTAGTTGGAGGCCTTTCCGCTCTGCCTGAGTTTGCAATTGAGCTAGAACATCGAAGGTAGATTTGCTTCAAGATTCTTACACCAACATCCTGTTCAGCTGCCTTATCTTTTCTTTCAGACTTTATCCCAGGACTGGAGATAGTGAGATGTGCTCAGGTCAGCAACCTGTTGTCATCTGCCTCTCCATCGCGGCAAGATGAAACTGGATAAGGGTGAATTAGCAGATAACGTGGTGAGGCAGGTTAAAAAAAATAAAAAAAAGACAATAGCAAAACTGTGGTCTTTAAAATGAGCTAGTCTTTGAGCTCAGTAGGAAGGCCTGGAGCCAGGAGCAGGTTCTAATTTACGCAGAGAACCAGGGGTCGAATTCTACTAGGGTGACACCAGCCCTGGTGGGATTCCCAGGTGAGCATCAGGTGGGGAGCATGTGCCGAGGAACAGAGTGCTGAGGAATCGTGACATGTGGGCATTTTGCAGAGGACTCGCCTGACACTTCAGGAGACTGAGGGCGTGACCTGGTGGTTGCCTGGCAAGTCCTGGCCCAGGGCACTTAGGGAAGGAGGGGAGAGTGGCATGAGGCCAGGAGAGAAATTGCGAGAAGGTGAACTCGGAGTGGTCAGGGTGAGGTGAATTGTTACAGGGCCTGCCAAGGTGGGCTGGGTGTGAGACAGAGGAGCATCCAAAGGACAGATACGGGATCAAAATGTAAAACTCCAGGAGAGTGAAGCGAGGGAAAAAGGGTTTGTCTCAATGAGAGGCACTCGGACCCTCTGGATAGATGAAAGAGGATGGCTGACGCTGGTGGAATCAATTGCTGAGGGCAGTAGCAAGTGGACATAATGAGTCTTGGGCTCGTTCCTAAGAAGCAGCTGAAACATCACTAAAATAGAAACCACACGACAGAATATGTGGTCTCAGCGCTGATGTTTTATGTGGGATCTGCTTGTTCTCTCAGGGTCTCACTACTGACATTCCTTCTCCTGCTCTCTATCTGGAGCCTTTCTGAGGTGGCACAGCCAGCGCCCAGCTCCAGATTTGTGTAGTGGATAATGGAAAAACAAACAGTGGTTTGCTTTTTTATGAAGCCCAGTGGCACAGAAAGCCCTTCATAAAGGGTACACCTCCTATTTTAAAAGCCATGTGTGAACCATGATTATCACTCCTCGGAGATCTGTTATATTTGCAACTTGTGTGTCATTTGGGTGCAAAACTGCTTTCTGGTGTCATGCAGCATCCTGGCAGAGCAGTGAGGGGCTGGCCAGCCTTGGCCTCTGCTTTACTGTTAACATACATATCCTTCAGCTTTCTAGAAGCATCCTTGCTGTAGTCACTGCTTCTCAGGGGAGGGATTCTCTGCTTCTGGCAGAAACCTGGTGGGTTTAGTGCGTTGGTTATAAGAGCCTGGTTGGGGTAGCATTAGCTCCCTATAGACTGATAGAAGTGTCAGTCTTCACTTTGTTGTTAGTATCTGCATGTCAGGACTATTTCCAGTTTATCAAGGCTCTCTACAGCGTGGGGTCAATTGGGATGATAGAGAACCTTGCATGCACGGTTGTATATTGTGTTCTGGATTCTGAGCCCCCTAGGGGTGAACATTTATATCCATCAGATAAACATCTCGACCCTCTAAGTAAAGAAACTGTCACTTAAAGAAAGAGCAGATTCTTTAATCATCCAGAGGAATGAAGTACAGAGACATGCTAAGAGAGGGAGCATTATGCTAAGTGAAGGTAATTGGCCACATATTGTGTGGTCCTGTTACAGGACAGGGAGAGAGGGGCACCCCTCCCTGAACCCCCAAACCTGCCTGCTCTAAATAGGTTCTGCCATCCGCCACATCAAGACAAGACAAAAGAGCTTTAATGGAAAGGAACTTTAATACAATCAGTGTGAAATACAGAAAAGACAAAGAATCTGGTCTCTAAATCAAACACCCCAAGTTACCCAACCCCTCATGGGTAAAAGTCCACTCAAAAGGGATTGGCACAAACAAAGGCCTGAAGCCCACCACAAGTCTAAAGCACCATTTGGCTGGGACCCATAGAAAAGGGTCAGAAAGGGCCAGACAAGTCTGGGAGGAAAAGCGCAAAATCAAGATACACGCTGACATAATGAAACTCCCCCGGGTTTCTCACCCACATCTGTTTCAACCAGTGGAGAAACAGGAAGCAAATGCAGCTTCTTCACATGTCTCTCTGTTCCATGTGGCTCACTCAAGACTCCTTCTGGCTCTTCATCCTGCTTCCTTCTTCCCCAGACTCCTCTCCAGATTCTTCTCTCCTTAGTTCCACTCTCCTTCTGGGTGGGGCAGGGAACCTGGAACTTCCCCTTTTCCTGGGGGCCACCCTGTTACTATCCCACTTAGGAAATACCCAAAAGAGGCAAATCCATAGAAACAACTGAAGGCTCCTTTGCCAGCATTGGAAATGGGGGTGACTGCCACGGGGCACGGGTTTCCTTTTGGGGTGATGACTGTTCTGGAGTCATATGGGGGTGAGCTGGCATTACATTGTGAATGTACTTGTTGCCACTGAATGATGCACTTTAAAAAGGTTGTGTTTTGTGTTACTTCTAATAAAAACATACGAGAAATCAGGTTCACAACTGTTTTGTTCTCATAGGTATTTCGCAAATGAACCGTTCGCTGACTTCCATCGTGTGGAAGGGTTGCAAGGGGTCTACATTGCTACCCTGATCAATGGGTCCATGAATGAGGAGAACATGAGATCAGTCATCACCTTTGACAAAGGGGGAACCTGGGAATTTCTTCAGGCTCCAGCCTTCACGGGATATGGAGAGAGAATCAATTGTGAGGTACAGATGTTGCCTTAATCTCATTTGGGTCTTCAGTACAAATGTACCTCTCCATCTACACGTACAGTTCCTAAACTCTGCACCAAGGCAACCCGGGGTACCACAGACTACTTAAGCTTTTCAGGGAAACACAGTGATACCTGACATCTGTTGGTCGCCATGAGAGTTGCCATTAGTCACAGCTTCATCTGTAGATTGGGCTCTATTTCTTCTGATGATAATCATATTGTTGTGAGGCTGGATTTCCAGCTGTTGATGTGAGAGAAGGCAAGTGAGGAAATTGGGGTGGAACAGGAAATGATGGTGGTCGTGTCTGGTAAAATCCCAAAGTTTGAGAAGTCATGCTGTGCCCAAGAAGGGTACCATCCCATTGTTTGTTGTGTCTCCTCAGAATAAAATAAAAGCTTGTTTCTTTATGTGTGATATATATACTATTATATCACACATATCCACCTATTACTGAGTTATTAGATATATTAGTATTTATGAAATTGGTTGGTCTTAAGTATATTAAAAACAAATATTAGTCTTCTGGCTTGAGGCTGTACTAAAAAAGTTACCATGTGAACCTAGAAAGATTAGGAATCTTTCCACAAGTTGTGACTTCTGTGGAATTTCTTTTAAAATCCCCATCTGAATAGAATTTAGGACTCTGATTTTCCATCTTTGGCCCCATGTGCATATCTCAGCACTGATCTGTATGTGGTTCGGCTGGGTGTTCCCTCCCCCTCAGTAGCTTGCTCTTTTCCCTCTGGATTACTCTGGGTTGTGATCCTTAGCTTTAGGTGACTCCCCACACCCCCACTTTTCTTTCACTTGAGTTTTCTAGAATGTGGCAGCACTAAGATTTGGCGACACGGTGACAGACATTATAGCTAGACAATCACCTGGTCTTTTGTGTTGTATTTTTCTGTAGTAGTTAACTGTGTTGATTCTTCTGTATGCTGAGCCTGTAGCTCTTGGGGAAATCTTTTGGGAGATTCTTGTCCTTGTGTCTTCCCTATTTGATGGTTGTCACCACGTCAAATTTAGCTTTGGCATGAGGAAAGATAGAAGTTGACAAACATATCTCCAGGTAATTCTGCACTTGACAGCCTCACCTGTGCTTGCTGTGGATCCTAAGGGGGTCTGAGCCCTGGCCAGACAGAACTCAGGTTGCCTCTATGAGTTTGCCATAGCTCCCAAGACCCTTGGTGCAGAGATGGGGAATGTAAAGATATTGTTAACATACAGCCGCTTATTTATGCACTGGAGAAGAATTAAATGACTTTGTTTCTATTCTATGCTGAACGCGAAGGTTGGCACATATTCTTTGAGGACCAACCTGATTTACTCAAGCTTTTATTTATTGCTGTGATACTTGCAAGATAGGTCTTGTTAAAGAACTCTTTTGGTTATAAAAAATATCATGTCGTAGTCTTTGCTGTACCATAAAACACACGTTTGCCCTGCCTAGAACAGTAGACAAAATTGAATAACATTTGCTGATCGCATCTTGGTAGAAGCTTGGATACAACCGTAGCAAAAGGCCCGTTCCTGCGGCCCTGTTAAAATCGGAACATAAAAGAGATAGAGGCCAGTTGGCACAGCTTGAAGTCTTGCAGAGCATACCGCAGACTTTGTGCTTTGTGTAAATGCAGACCACATACAAAAATTCATGTGAATCCTTAGGGTGTTTATTGCACACACATTGTACATTTGGGAGCTTATCAGTGAGACTTTATAACTTCGGAGTCTTGGTTTTTCTTTTGGCAGAATTGCTTAAGTCATATATGAAATGCATCTCCACTGACTTAGAAAATATAGACCATGAAATCATTTCATTTCTCTGGTTCTGAGCCACATGAGGGAATCTCTAGATAATATGGAGAGGAAGCTTTCTGATCTACTTGAGTTGGCGTTGGTTTCTAATTGCTCTGAGAGCCTCAGAAGAACGTTTCAGCAGTGGTTTTCTCCTCTCTTCAAGGAGAGGTACTCGTGTGGCTCAGATAATTTTGTGCAACCCAGGGGTGGTGGGATGGCGACTCCAGGTTTCCCTCTCTCTAAATGCAGTGGCCTCACATAGGCCTCAGGGCTGAGAGGGAGAAGGGGGCATCGTCCCCCTGGCTCTCTGTTATGCTGACAGGCCTGCATCCTTTCTAAAGCTCTCCCAAGGCTGTTCCCTCCACTTGGCCCAGCGGCTCAGCCAGCTGCTCAACCTGCAGCTGCGGAAGATGCCCATCCTGTCCAAGGAGTCAGCTCCCGGCCTCATCATTGCCACTGGTAAGTTGACTTTGTCCGATTTCACTATGGGTCTAGCCAGTGGCCAACACCAGCTGCAGTAGCTACTGTTCATGACTTTGAGACATTCCACGTTGTTAGACACCATCAGAGTTTCTAGTTGGGCCTAGTGATTATCTGGCATCTTCTTGAACTTAAAAGTAATTATTCTGTTGAACATTTTTTCATATGCCTGTTGGCCATCACTCGTAATAAGGGAGATGCAAATTAAAACCACAATGAGATACACCTCACCCCAGTGAGAATGGCACATCTTCAAACAACTAGCAACAACAAATGTTGGCGAGGATGTGGAGAAAAAGGAACTCTCCTGCATTGCTGGTGGGAATGCAAACTAGTACAACCACTATGGAAAACTGTTTGGAGGTTCCTCAAACTGCTAAACATGGAGCTTCCCTATGACCCAGCAATCCCACTCCTAGGTATCTACCCAAAAGACACAAAAACACTGATTGAAAAAGATACTTGTACCCCCATGTTTATTGCTGCTTTATTTACAATTGGAAAAACATGGAAGCAGCCCAAATGCCCAAAAGTAGGTGACTGGATTAGAAAGATGTGGTACATATAGGCAATGGAATATTACTCAGCAACCAAAAAAGAGAAACACATGTCTTTTGCAGCAACTTGGATGGAGCTGGAAAAGATCATGCTTAGTGAGATAAGCCAGAAAGAGAAAGAAAAATACTGGATGGTTTCACTCATAGCAGGAGTATAATGGACCAGGCGAGAAAATAACAAAAATAATGAACAACCATAGACCAGAGACATTCTGTGGGGGTGGAGTGGGGAATGGGATCAAAAACGGGGGTGGGGGGAGAAGGGAGGGACTATGGTGGTAGCACAGGGGTGATTTGGTGATGGGAAACCCGTGGGGATTACAATTGAGATGAAAAAAAAAATGTGCAAAATGATGTAAAAATAAACTTTTTAATAAAAAAAAAAGTAAAAAAAAAAGTAATTATTCTTCTTGCATTGTAGGTTCAGTGGGAAAGAACTTGGCAAGCAAGACGAACGTTTACATCTCAAGCAGTGCCGGAGCCAGGTGGCGAGAGGTGAGGGCCCTCCTTTGAGATGGCTGTATGACCTCGTGACAGCTCAGGGACACGTGCGGCCCATGTGGTGGCCAGCGGGCCAGGAGCGTGATGAGATAAAAGAGCCACACACAACTTAGCTGCCTGGTCACCTTGTGACGTGGGCTTGTGATTTTGCCAAAAATGTGACTTGAATCAAACACAGACTTTTGCTACTGTGAATTTGATTGAGATACTTGCAAGGTACGTTCCCCAAGGGCAGGGCAATGCTTGTTCTCTTCTTCCCTTAGAACCTCGCCGTGTCTGGCAGGAGGGGGTTGCTTATGTGATAACTTATCAACAAAAGACTGTGTAGTGCTAGTGGTTTCAGGTCTGAAACTGGTTATTTGGTGTCATATTTAAGGGGTGGCGAGGCCTGGCCTCACTGTGCTGTGCAGATGCTTTCATGGCCTTTTTTGCTAGGAAAGGAGATTGTTTTGCCTTAAGGTTGTTTTACTTTGTATTTTTAGACACTGATGAGACCCATACTGAGGGTGGGGTTACTTTTCTGGTCCTGAAATGCCAATTCAGCCTTGGACAGGATAGACTTCCTAAGCTTATTTAACACAGTCCTGTGCAGTCCTTAATGCGCACGTGTGCACACACACACACACACACACACACACACACTTTTAATCAGCCTCCCAGGACTTTCGAAGGCCAAGAGAAGTGAACTTGGCCTATTCTGTTGGGGCGCTTTCAGCGCTGTGCCCTGTGGGGTCGACCACACAGATCCCCCCACACATAATTGATTGAGCTTCTGGTGTAGGCTCAGTTTGATGTCAGGAGGGATGTGGAGTTCTCAGAAGAGTGAGCAGGTATTTCCCATCCTTGTGGTGCTTCAGGTGGGGGATGCAGTATGTATTTAGGGGGACCTTCCAAAATGACAACACTGGATTGGCTTTTTGCAATTTACAGACACTTGTCCCATGACTTGCCTCATTTGTGGTAGGGCTTTCCATTCTCCCAGCTGACTGGCTGTGTGTACACATGTGTGTGTGTGCGCGTGTGTGTGTGCACTAAGGACTGTAGAGTATGGTAGAGGACTTCATGGGAAGTGTGTGTTCCGATGAAGGAGGTGATAAAGGCCAGAGTGCTCAGGTAAGTGAACACCGGGGACTTCTGGGCTCTTTTGTCTGGCTCCCATGGGAGACGAGGCTGCCACTCTTGGGGCTGGCTGTCCTTCTGAAATTGGCTTTTCCTTCCCCTGCAGATAGGCTTGTGGCTTGTACTTTGTGATGTTGGCGTCATCTGGGATTTGAACATCTGCAAGTGATTTCCTTTGGGTCAAAAGCAGGGTCATGTTCTCCCTGCAGTGAAGTGGGATGGGCTGGCCGATGCCCTTGCCTCCTGCCAGA